AACAGTTTGCACTCTCAAGCTAGCCTTTTCTTGGGGCAGAAAAGTCTAAACAAGTGAGAGATGTAACGATCACACAGAATTGTCTAGGTTGGAAAAGACCCTGAAGATCATCCAGTCCAACCATTAACCTCACACTGACAGTTCCCAACTACACCATATCCCTCAGCGCTATGTCGACCCAACAAACACCTCCAGGGATGGGGACTCTACCACCTCCCTGGGCAGCCCATTCCAACGCCTAACAACCCCTTCTGGAAAGAAATGCTTCCTAATATCCAGTAAACCTTCCCTGGCGCAATGTGATGCCATTACCTCTTCTCCTACTGCCTGTTACTTGGTTAAAGAGACTCATCCCCAGCTCTCTGCACCCTCCTTTCAGGGAGCTGTAGAGGGCGATGAGGTCTCCCCTCAGCCTCCTCTTCTCCAGACTAAACACCCCCAGTTCCCTCAGCCCCTCCTCGTAGGACCTGTGCTCCAGACCCTGCACCAGCTCCGTTGCCCTTCTCTGGACACGCTCGAGTCATTCAATGTCCTTTTTGTAGTGAGGGGCCCAAAACTGAACACAGGAATCGAGGTGCGGCCTCACCAGTGCCGAGTACAGGGGTCAGATCCCTTCCCTGTCCCTGCTGGCCACGCTATTGCTGACACAAGCCAGGATGCCATTGGCCTTCTTGGCCCCCTGGGCACACTGCTGGCTCCTGTTCAGCCGGCTGTCAATCACCCCCCAGGTCCCTCTCTGACTGGCAGCTCTCCAGCCACTCCTCCCCAGGCCTGTAGCGCTGCTGGGGGTTGTTGTGGCCCAAGGGCAGCCCCCGGCATTTGGCCTTATGGAAACTCCCCCGGTTGGCCTCAGCCCATGGCTCCAGCCTGTCCAGGTCTCTCTGCAGAGCCTCCCTACCCTCGAGCAGATCAACACTCCCACCCAACTGGGTGTCATCTGCAAACTGACTGAGGGTGCACTCGATCCCCTCGTCCAGATCATCAATAAAGATGTTAAACAGGAGTGGCCCCAACACCGAGCCCTGGGCGACACCACTCATGACCACGATGGCAGAGAAGATGCCTCCTTCCCACACTGCCTCAAGTTTATACAAAGCAGCGACAGATGAGAACAAAGCAAAAGTAGTAAGGTTGAAGAGAAATTAAGAAGGCAGCATGCATGCTTTAAAAAGACCCAAACCAATCCAATCTGTAAAAGAATATAAAAGATTTGGGGACCTTGGGAGAAGTTATCTTAGTATATACAACCTCTTTAAGTACAGGCTGGGGAAGGACAAGAGGTGTAACTTGAAGTTTGCTCCAGTAAGAGGGCAAGGGTGGGGAACAGGACAAAAAAACTGGAGGTGTGTTTTCAGGCAGTGTTTTTTTGACTGGCATCCCGCGTCATATTTATCTAATGAGAGGAAAAAAAGGAAAAGAGAAAAAAAAAGTCTCATGCAAGCATCTTATACTTCCAAGAAGCAGAAGGGAATGCAAATTTTTCAGTCAGTGATATAAAGGACTCTGACTTTTAATTATTAAAAATTATAAATCCATCTTAAGTTTCACGTATTTGCATAAACACCGATCCTAACTGCAGCCATGTTTTCAGAGTATCACCAGGGGTAGTAATGCTCCATACTTAAGAGGCAGGACAAGCAAGGACAACTCTGCAGCTAGCACAACTAACACAAAAACATGGCATATTTATCATCACCACCTAAGATTCCTTTGCTCCCTACTAGCTTTCTTTGAAGTTAGTCAGCTTTACAGGAGGTACTATGTTAAAGTTCAGGATATGCTAGATTAAAATTAAACAAGTAAACTAAGTCAAAACTCCACTTACCCTTTACAAAGTACGTTTTAATATAGACAGTGTACAAATCAAATAAATTGACGTAATGCATTCCTAAGCTGCATATATGACATCTGTATATACAAAATTGTAGTCTTAGTTCAGAACTATCAAAAGCAAGGGCACAGCATAGTTCTTGTGCAGTATGTGACAGCAGTAAAACTGCATTCAGTAGAAAGCAAGCCACGGAACCTATACCTTTGCCTTTTTGTAAGGGAAGAAAGTTCATGTTTTTGTCCATCTATCTTAAACACATTCCTGGGAGCGTGATTTTTTTTAGTACTTATAAAATTTAAATGTAAGGAAACTTTTTTTTTTAAAAAAACAAAACAATCTCAAGCATTTAACTGAAGTGTATCATGTGCTTCCTTAGTATTAAAATACCTCTGTTTACTCTCAAATTAATGGTGATGAGGTCTTACCCTAAACAAATTGATTCCCATGCCTACTCCTATTGAAGAATCTCAGCTAAAAACCCTTTTTTATTAAAAGGAAAAAGAAAGAGACAAATTTGTAACTGTCATTTTATTTGTGTCTGAAAATCATGACAGTAGTACCAAGGGTCTTTGTTGTACTGGGCAGGTTACAAGCAGTAAACCCAGTTTATGAGAGCTGGGATTTCACATTTAGATTTTTGTACCTAGTACAGGAGTGAGTTACTGACTCCTCCCTGTTAGAAGTATAAGGTAAAAATGCCATGAAGTATGAAAAGGTAACATATAATGATGAAAGAATGAACTAACTTCTACTATAATTTCACTCAGTATCCAAGATTGCAGAAATGCCCCCTCCCTCCACGTTTATGGTAGCCAAGACATTACAAGAATTAATTAGAAAGATTACAATGTCTTTCAAATGAAGTAGTTCTCCCTAGCCACAATCTCAAAGAAAAAAAAATCCTGGTGGTAGTGAACTTTCTTAAAACCATGAAGCTGTAGAGCTTGTTGTTCAGCAGAACTAGTATTTCTTGAGGCTGAAGTGAGTACAGTGGAATTATGAAGACATTCCTTTCTCCATTCACAAATCTTTCCCTAAAGAACATCTCATTGAAAACAGGAAGCCACCCTCTGCTTGATTATTCAAAATGCTGAAAACAAATGGTTTTAGAGGGTATTAAAAAAAACAAATAATCCCCCCAAACACAGAAAAAATGAAAAAGCAGCAAAATCCACATTTATCTGTTGTTCAAAGCCCAGATATTGCAGTATCAAGAACAAAATCAAGACTATGAAACAACTTTGCTTATAGTTCCAGACTAAGAATGTGAAGATGCAACAAATACAAGTATCATTCCAGAGTTTACTTTATAGAACAGAGAACTTAAATTAGGTTTTAAGAATCTTCAAGTTGTTCATAAACTGTTCAAAGAAAAGCATAAGGTGCTTGAGACTCAGAAGTGAGAGCCTAATTTGATTAAGAGCTCTGCTTCTCTAATGCTGTCTTAGAGAACTGCATACAACTGCATTTTTTAACATATTTGAGCAAGTTTTTCTTTGCTTTTACTCTCCTCCCCATACACAAGCAAGATAAAAGCTATAAATTGAAGTATAGCCTAATGCTGTTGGGACAGCAGTTTAAAACTGGACAAAAAGCTTTCTGTCTATGCTGATGTTTGGCTGCATCTTCATGTAACAATTTAAGAAGTGCTATAGACAGCTGTATATAACTACTATTTTTGACCATTCACATCTAGAAATAACTTTCTATTGTTGATATGTCTAAACTGAAGTCTATCTAGAACTAGAGCAGTATTGTGGCAAAATTTCTCCAAGTTATTCCCAAAACTGGCAAAGATTAGAAAACTTTGGAAAAAAACCCATCATCTGGTTCATCCATGATTTGTTTAGAGCATTTTAAAAGAAGAAAATCCTCATCTTTAGTGTTCACCCATGAGGAAACAGCAATTCTATTTACACCAGCAAAGGAGAACACCACACAGTTTAATCCAAATTCTAAGCTCCTCCCACCTCCCATTTCTAGCATTGCAGTATCAGTACATATTATGAAACAAACTTAATATCTAACTCTACAATACTTTTCCAGAAGTTAAGTTTTCTTATGCAGAAGAGCAATGGTGATTTGAGTTTACAGTTAGTTCATTTGGACATCAAAACCATCTTGCAATGCCTCAGAATATTACTGTAAATTAGGCCAGTAGACATTCATTTCACAGAGTAATTTGAGAATGTAAAAGGGATAAGAAACAAGTTATAGGAAAAGTTTATACTGCAAGGAAAGAGTCCTAATATGAAGAGTGCAATTTCATTAAATAATACTTCTATTTTTCAGGACATAAACATTACTTTTTTCATAGAAAGCTTAGACATTTAAATACTGACATATACCAATTTCAGATTAGGGTAGAAATAAAGCAGTCACAAACTTTGTGTGTACTGTAAGCATAAGCTAAGTTTACAAGCAGTAATACATGTGTATTAACACTGAATTTGGAAAATTACTGCATTAGTTCTCTAAATATGTATTATGCATGTTTTCATCCAAAGCTTTATGAGAAATGTTCTGTTTCTGTACAAGTAGTTCAAGCATGAACTTCTTAAGTGTTGGTACACAAAGCAGTTATTCTGAAAATGTATGTTTGTTCAAAAATTTCAGCAAACAGGATTCTTTTCTAGAATTGGTAACTGCTTACATCGTTCCAATTCCTGTGGGGAACTGGATGTTCACTTCCTCAGCAGGAACAACTTCTTACGCTGCAATTACTTAGATATGAAGAAAATTCTTTCATGTGTTTTTCCTTACTAATTGTGTCCATCACTTCCTCAGCATCATTTCGTCATGCATCTTCTCTTTAACAACCAGGACACTGCTCCCTTGAAGCTTGCCTAACTTTTCAAGAAGAAAGTACTGGGGCTTAGGTATTACCCGGGTTATGATGTGTTGGCTTTACAAATCTGGCCTAAGTTCTAAATATTGGGGGTGGGTGGGAG